GGGGGGGGGGGGGCTCTATCCTGGAATTCATGTCTTATTTTGATTTAATAAAAAAATTAAGTGAAACTGACCAATTAAATTTAATACTTACCGTTTACTGGCAATGTATCTTCTTTACTAGTTCCTAGAATTATAGTTGTTGTGTCTTATCGTACAATTAGTAAATAACTGGAGCAATTTGTGATAAAGTGACAGTTTATTAACGATATGGAGGCCCGACCGGTGCGTTTATTGCGATAACCAGAATAGCCTGAACGCTGCAATAACAACTGAGCTGTGTGCTATAGTCCAGTGCTGACCCTTACTACTCCCTCTTTTTCGCTTCTATTGCCATTACTGCACTCCTCTACCATTTTGAGCATCGCTAATTGTGATACGACGTTACGTAAGCTAAAGTTCCTATTCTAGTACAGGCTAAATATTAGGGTAAGCGCTGCCATTGAGAGTTTCGAGCTTCTTATTTTGTGCACTCAAAACATAGGAAGAGCTATGCTTGCGCCATGTTATCGAGCATAAATAATCTTTGTATTTAATATTACTTGTTGTGCGTATTTAATTACATTGTATTTAATACTACACGCTGTGCCCTCTTCGATTGGCATTGTGTTTGAACTTTCAATTTAATTTTGGAGAGTTTCTTCTGTAATCTACAAGCTTTCTCCAATGGTAACAAACTCACGGAACAATTCTGTGCTATGTTTTTGGTATGTGCTTTTTGTTCTTTTCTCCCTAGCATGACTGCGCGAACAAAGTTTGGGAGGAGAGCAGTTGACAGCGAGACCAGGCACGCGCGTATTTTGTTAGTAAGACTAAAATTCTAATAAATCTTAGTATCATCACATGTTTGAGTTATTGATGTTATTTTTTTTCCTACAATATCGTGGAATATAAATTAAGTTTCATCGCCAGTCAATCGATGAAGCACAATCAGGAATGTAACGGGAACAAAATTATATATCATATCGGGGATAAGAGATAATGCAGCAAAACCGATAGGTATAACTTTCTTCAAGATGTTCCTAGGCGAGTAAATATCATTTGATGAACTAAATGATCTGTTATATGATTGAAGTTCTCTCAACTTCCAGATTGTTGCCTTATATGCTGAGTGATCAGTCTGTATATATATATATATATATATCTGTGTATTAAATAGATTGAAAGATGGTTTCCAGGACTTTTTTTCTTGAGTATTGGCAGTTACGAGGACATTTGGTGTTTTCCAGGATGGACCGGGAAGTATCCTATATTCAACGTATATTTCCAGGGCCGTTAAGTGGCATTTACACCGAATTTTCCAAAAAAATGTTTATGCTGGACATCCGGAGTTGTGATGGGCTAAGAAATATCTTCGTTAGGTTAGATTAGGTTAGAATTCCAATGCCACATGTCCCATAGTTTTTTTTTGTCCTGGAAACTGCCCTTTTATACATATATATATAATACACCTCTAGATTAATAACTCTCCTAAACATATGAAGCAATAAGCATATGTCAACGTTGCGTTATTGAAATTGAATAACGTGTACATTTTTTTACACAATTAGGTGCTTACAACATGTCATAGAATTACTTACGATCAAAAACATGATAATGATTTTTGTTAAATAAATAGATTCAATATTCAAAAACAGTTGAATTAGTTAACCATGGATTACATCTGTTCAATTGCAGAATGCAGGCTGTTATCGTATGCGGGAGCAGGGTGATAATATGACTGGTCTCGAAGAAGTTGCTGCAGGAAATATGGCGGCTGCTGCACAAGGTTGTTATGGATGGAATTTGACCTTCCCACGTCAAGCATCGTCCTATTCTCAGAGGCATGAACTGCCAGCAATTGTTACGGAAGGAGAGAACTACAGACTACCTGGAGAGGTGACAGTTCAGGTTTTTAATAGATTATGAAAGTTATATGAACATATTATTAAGGTTAAACAATTTATTATCTATTTAGTCGGAGAATAATTCCTGCAGTGATGGGCACCTCTCGGACATAATGCCGGATGTTGCAATGGCCACAGCTTCCTTTGGAGCCCTGCAGCTAGTTGAGCAGCAGGAACTGGAATTAGATCTTGGTGATGGTGCATCGCATTTACTTCAACACGCTCCAACATCCGCAGGGACTATCGGACCCCACCACCCTCTACTTTCTCATCAACGCCAAAGACGCTTTCCGGGACCTCCGCCACCACCTTATATACACCACCGTCCAGGTACCGGGCCACCCAGGTTTATTTGAGATCCTCTCTGGTAAGTCGGACAAATAAGCGAACGATCATCCCTTTGTTTCTTACGAACTGGAAAGGATCTAGCAACGGGAAATAACTCCCTCTGGGAAGCATTGTATGCGCGCGCATGGGTGTGTGTGTGCGTGTGTGTGTTTACAGCCTGGACATGCCTGGTAAATAAAGAGCAGGGCGTCATTTGTATCGGACCAATTTAACTAGTTATCGGTTAACCTAGAGGACTGTAATGTAATTTATGACGTTGGTTATGCATATTACGGAGATGGGTATAACAATGCTGCCCGTAATCGTGTTTCGTACCGCACTGCAATATTTTACCTTTATCGCGAGTATCTCTAATAAGTGGCAGCGAAGAACCATTAATCTGTCTACGGACATCACATTGTCATCGTAGCTAGAATAAAGCTCTAATAATTTATAGGGAAGAATAATGAATCAGACATCTACGTTCTATGTTTACTAAAACGTGATTTTAAGAGGTACAGCCATTTCTCAAAGTTTAGGGGAGAAATCGTAAATTAAGAAATGTAAAGATAGATGAGAATGTTACATAGAATACTTTATCCATTTCTTTCTTCAAAACTATCAAATGAAGTTAATAATTTTTTAAGCTGCTGAACAATTTCCATAAATCACTCTTATTTTAGGAAATATGATTCTTCATCGAGTGATGCAAATGATGTAATTTGAATTTCAGATTCAAGTATACGCATTAAGATGAATACTTACATGTAATGTAAACGTTCAGATGACCGAGACCCAGATAATCGAGGCTCTATTTTAATCATTTATCTAAGGTTAGTGAACATATATACAGGCAGAAGCAGAATATCAATTTCACTGTTCCTCATTGTAACCTGAAGACCTCGCTAAGTGACAATATCTAAGGCGGAAAGATTATAATTCTCGCTTCGACGCTATATTTTCTCTTTTTGCAAATTTCAGCACCCTGAACTATCATAAAACTACAGTCAATCATTTGGAGGTGAAGGAAACTTTAGAGGATGTCCTACTTACAATATGTATACCACTTTATTAAATACAAAGCATGAAGCTACTCAATGAGTAAGAATACTTTTTTGCATTATCTTTAAGAGATTGCAAACACCGAACGGGCATCTTGATTTTTTAAATTGAAAGTAATAACTAATAATGGCTGCTCCCTCGTGAATGTGTCGTAAACTACGCGTAGGAAAAAATATAGATAATGTAACCTGAGGTTAGAATGCCCATTTTATTTCCATGGTAGCATTGACTTCAGTTGCTGTGTTTATACTAAATATCCAATATGTAGGAAAAGTTCTACATTACATTACTTCAAATATCTTATACTTTCGAATTTACGATTTTCCTGTTAAGTGTTGAAATGGTTTTATCCCTTTAAATTCTTATTTATCTACTAAGCAAGTCAGTATTTTATCTACTGAATCTTCCCTGTAAACAATCAAAAACATTGTATTAAAATCGTTTTAAGATAAGAAACTGATGTGAGTGATCCCGAGAATGCGGACGGACCAGTGCCCATGAATTTAAATGAATGCAACGAATTAATCGCTTTTTTCCCTCGTTTTAACTTATAAACGACAATATAAAATAAACCGAGCATCCGAGATGTATGCTTAATGAAAAGATACATTAGATATTGAAACTATGCAGTAGTAGTATGTGCCGAAAATATGGGGGCCGAATCGTTTAAGCTTCGAGTAAACGAAGATTCAATAAAAAGATGTACACAGAAACATAAAATACACTTGGAATACATGCATATATATTAGTCATACATATACATATACATATGCACGCGCGTATGCGTGTGCACGCACGCACACACCTACACATATACACATAAACACATACTAACATACATACAGTGGCCAAAGGCTTTAGCACGCGTATGTATGTACAGAAAAAATCAAAAAGTGTGGAAAAGAATGCCAGAAAAGAATAATAGTTTTTCAAAACATCTTCAAATGATATTATTTGCTTATTCAATCCATGACATGTAGTACTCCTTCATTATTGAGGACGGCTTGTCTCTCTTCGTCCCCTTTTACGTTACATGCGATGCGATACGATGAGTTACAAAATATCATTTCTGATTGGTACTCCTATTTTTGTAGCGAACATAATTTAGCTATTCGTTGAATTGGCATCTGTTGGACATTTTCACTCGCACGAAACTCTAAAAACAAAGTGCATAAGGGTATAATACGAATTTTCGTCAATATAGTTTACTTAATATTTATTTTGTGTCTCAGCAACGCTTCCTTCGCATATGTAGATTTCTCGGCTCATCGACATATACAGAGTGTATCAGCTAAGATGCACGTTTGAGATTTGCGGTGAAACGGAGCACAATTTCGAAAATCTGATGTCACGACCATTGAATATTTTTTGATTGCGCATTGAATGGGCATATTATTATAGTTTGCTTAACTTCCGGTCGCAAATAAAAAAAATTATCTTCGCCATTTTAAATGATATTGAAAAAAGTTAAATGCAAAAGTTGTAGAGCACGAAAAATAATAGAGATGAAAAAAAATTCGGACGGATTGCACACATAATAAGGGAGATATTTGCGTTCGAAATTTTATCATTTTTTTGACAAATTCCTGATACTGACGGAACCCTTAGCTTCGTGCAGCAGCTTCACGCCGAACTCACGATTCGCAATTGATATGAGGTAAGCGTTCAGTCAGACGCATCCGTACAAGGTGACTAAAGCATATTACAATGCTTTTTTTTTATTACAAGTTAGAAACCCAATTAATCCTGCTGTAGATTTCCGTGATCCTGGATATAGATTTTGGAGTCTTCGTCTTCCAAAATCTACTTCCAGGAGCATGAAGAATCCAAAATTTGCATCCAGGATCACGGAAATCTACAGCAGAAATACTTCGGCTTCTAACTTGTAATAAAAAATAGCATTTTAATATGTTTTAGCCACCTTGTACGGGTTTACGTCTGACTGAACGCTTACCTCAAAACAATTGTGTATCGTGAGTTCGGCGTGAAACTGCTGCACGAAGCTAAGGCGTTCCGCGAGTATCAGGAATTTGTCAAAAAATTACAAAATTTCGAGCGCAAATATCTCCCTTATTATGTATGCAATCCGTCCCAATTTTATTTCACCTCTATTATTTTTTCTTGCTCTAAAACTTATGCATTTAAGTTTTTCAATATCAATATTTGAAATGGCGAAGATAATTTTTTTTTATTTGCAACCGGAAGTTAAGCGAACAATAAAAATATGCCCATTCAATGCGCAATCAAAAAATATTCAATGGTCGTAACATTAGATTTTCGAAATTGTACAACGTTTCACCGCAAATCTCAAACGTGCACCTTAGCTGATACACACTGTAATATGGACTACGCGATTCCTACTTCAAATCCTTTGAAAAAGTTTCCGCTCAAATAAACAAACAGGAAATGAAGTGGTAGTCAGTCGCTCTCCTTTTCTAATGCTCCTATTGGCTACGTTTTCTATACTTTCGTACTACGGCTGTTGATTAGAAAGAGAAAGTGCTTGACCTACACCAGTCGCTATCTTTTTTTTTCAGCCGACCATTTTCCCCATGTTTATGCATAGTCCATACTATACAACGTAAATGTTCGACTATTCTCTATTGTTAATTATTTTGTCTCCCTTTTTTATTTTCTCATCATTATTTGTCATTTTTCACAAGTTCATTGTATGTAAAGATAGTGAAAAATGTAAAGATAGTGAAAAAGGCAAACATGGTATTCAAGAGAAAGAAAAAATTACAAAAGGTCTTAAGCAATATCTTTTATCCCGTTACACTCTCTATTCAAAAGTTCTAATTCGTCAATTTCATTCAAAGTTCATTGGAAATGAATAAAATATGGAAACCTTTCAATAAAACTGTTGCAAAGTGATATGATCATTCATATCGCGCAATTTTCTGATGATTAATAAACTCAATTCCACTAATTATCACTTTAATCAGCCTTGTGTTTCTGGATGGCTTTTTCGTATCACGTCTAAGGCGCTCAATAAAAGCTCTAAGCTCTAAATTCGAGATGCCTCAGTCCGTAGTATATTTTATTCACTCTCAAAAGGGAGGGTGTATTTTCATCGTGTTTTTCGTATGTGTGCACACACAAAATACGCACAGCCACACACACACAAATCGCGTGTACATACTGATGTATCACAAGAAATAATTATAATATTACAGAAGAGACGTGGGACCCACGAGGAGGTTAAATAACCAATCGCTAGGAATTAGAAGAGATTCAGATAAAAATTATTAACCGGGAATTTAATATATATATATATATATATATATATATATATATATATATATATATTAAATATATAGGTAAAAATTAGAGGTAGGTTAGGTATATTGCGTAGCTTTAAGTTTATGAGAGAAATGCTACTTACAAAAATCATCAGATTAAGATGAGATAACTCTCATTCTTTTGCTGCTGGACACTTTAGTTGCATACCTTATGTCGTATTTCAAATGCCAGGATATACGGTTTACATAAGTGCAACAAGAATTTCAAACATTTGTCTTCAGCATGCAAGAAAAAATTGGGACTAGAGAAGATGCCCTAAACTCTAAATTTAGTTGTAAATATAAACAGAGCAATGTTCAGGTTGTTGTTATTATTATTACGCAATGTGAATTGTACATAATGGTGTAGACTGTAAGACTCGACTACTATATAATGTTCAAGGTGATCGTGAGACAATGCATGTTCTAATTAAAAATGGACGGTGGTACTTAAGAATGTTGATGATTTTTTCACGTAAATAAGATGGAAGAAGGCCGTGAAAACGAATGATGAAGGATGGAAAATGTACCAAAAGGTGGCGGAGAATGAAGGAAGGGAGGAGAGACAAGCGTTATACAAAAAGGAAATTGTAGATAAGCGAATGAAAAATGAAAAATGGTGGACATTCTTCCGTATATAGTTTATTCTAATAAAATCAGCGCAGCTAATATATGATAACAAACTTCGTGGTACAAAGAGAAGTTAAACTTAACAAAAAGTACATTTTAGCGTTCAAAGGAGTGAATTTCTCGCGAATTATTAATGTGTTCTGAGACGCGCCGTTCATTTATTGATAGTGTCGAATCGCCTGGTAGAACGTGAAAGTTATTTATTATTTTGTAAAGTGGGATATAAGAGTCATATGTGTGTATGTACAGTCATCTCCAACAATAGGAATATTTAGAAACGAGGATCGTTAAGGGCGCATCTGTAAGATTGCCCTGATTTCTGTCGTTCATACATTATAGAACAAAAGATTTCCAGGTAATTGCTGATCCTACTTCAAGATAAAAATCTCCTTTTCTGTAATTCTCATTTCTTTAATTTTTTTATATTATTATTTTGAATTCCCGAGATAGGATCTTTCATGCGACATGGTTCTATGGATGAGGAACTAAGGTAACAACCATGTTCTCCCTTTATGATCCTTTGCTATTTTATAGCATACATTAAATAATGGAGTACAATACAACGTTTAAAATCGTTAATCACGGTAATGGATTCTTTAACGGTTTAATCTCGTTTACAAAAAAGAGAGAACGTTGGTTACTCAGAATAAGAAGTTCCTTTTTTTGATGTCCCTTTAATTAATATTTTTGTTCTTAACGTTTTTATTATTTGTGGGGTCACTATGTGATTTCTGCGATTCACACTAAACCAGAGAGAAATTAACCAGAATTTCTAGTAACAGGAATTTCATAAACACTGGTACGCGAACCGCATAAAATATACATTATTATTATCATCGTCATCATTATTATCATTATTGTTACACGTAATGTATTGTATACAGGATCTATAAGGAATATAATCCTTAAAAAAGTCGTTGAATATCATACAGCACAAAATGTATTTGAATGTTTTGTACTGTATGGATTCATATCGACTTAATAGAAATATATGCTGTCAAATGAACTCACGTGAAAGGGTATATGGCGGATTCTATCTATTCGCAGCACATAGTAGTTATATTTATAAGGATTGTGAACTTGTAGCAAGAAATGTCAGATACTCGATATTCACGTAATCTTTACAATCGATTGATAGAGTGTGTGAATTGTACATATAGTAATAGCGGCTCGATTAGACAGCCGCCTATAAAGATCATTTGAATAATCGTATATAAGGTATGAAAAACGGAAGCTTGTATCGTTTCCTGAGAAGTACCCGAAACCACTTCTTGTCTTCTCCCAAAGATGAGAAAATTATAAGAAAAGAAAAGTTATATAGAAAAAAGTAAGAAGGAAAAAAAACTGTGTCAATGCATTCCATAGGGATTAGCGGCGCAGACAACGAATCTTATTATTTGATTTATTTCTTTCTCGCGCCTGCGCAATTGGCCGAGACATGATCACGCAGTTAAAATGCTGGAAAAAACACCATTAAATATCGATGATGTGCGACGCGAGCGAGAGCTTTCCCCGGCGAGTCTGTGATAAGAGGTCTCGAAAGTCAATCTCCCACTCGTTTATACATAAATTTCAATAATACTTCGATAGGAGAGTTTTGCTCGCTCACATGTGTTTAAAATTTCTTCATTGGATAAAAAAGACCTCGTCGGGACAATTTCGCAGTATGGTTTTTTTCTCTTAGACAAGCAGGAGAATGCTTTTACAATAATTTTCTGCTCTTATTCTCTACGTTTCTTTTTGTCTACATATAATATCTGCACTGGAAAACATCAAATTATCCAACAACGGGAGTCTTTCAATTGTATAAAATAAAACTATTAATAAGCGACAACAGGTTAAATACATGTAGCACATTGAATTACCGCTCGATAATATATCTTTCCCGATGATTTTATGTTTCTCTCGGATGATGACATTATACATATGTGTCATACAAATAAAAGAAAACAGCACAGACCCTTCAACTGCTAAAAAGTTAGTGCATTAGTAGTAATAATAATTTCAGTGTCATGGCAACATGTTACTTAATCCATTTGAGAAATGTCATCATCATCATTCCTTGTGATTCAAAACGATTACTCTATCGAACATCGATGTTTCGATTATTATATTATTCATGCACAGTAAAAGTTGATTAATAGTATCTGTACATATTGTAATACCTGATATTAAAAGAAAAAACAAACAAAAAATGATATATTTAAAAAAAATATATACCGTCTTATCTTTCCCGTTGCACGTTGTTAAGGATCACACGGGGAACAAAAAAAGAATGGTGCGAAGAAAGAGGGACGAGTGTTGAATCTTTGAACAATGATAAAGCAATGCATTAAAATCATGGTATAATTAATAAGTGAATTTCTTCATAACAATGACATACTCTTTCGTCAGATAACATTTAGGGTTTATTTTTTTGGAAGGACTTACAAATATTTATTTTTCATTATTTTGTCTTCCTTAATTTTCCCCGTCTTCATGATACGTTTTATAACACTGTTAAATGGGGAATGAACAATATTGTTTATATTATGAACATAAATCACACGGAGAATTTTTTATCGAGATACTTATGCCTATATACGAGAATGTTATGTATGTAACGTATGAATAGATGTATATATTTATGTAGGCAGCATTTGAAAGACTAATTTTGCTTAGCACCTACAATCTTTTACATATTTCCATACTTTAATACGCGTACATAATTTAAAACCTATTTTTATATGTTCCTTGCAGGTGAATATTTAAAGTGACACTTACGAATTATTTTATTTTTGGATTCACTTTTCTTTACAGCAATCCAGTTGCCATCAACTTCGACTCACTTTAGTAATTTTTTAGTCTTATTATCCCTTATTATATAATCATGGAATAATATCTTGATAGGCCGGTGAAGCGTTTAAATGGTGAATAGCAAGTGTAACATTATTTTAGATAAAATTAGAAAAATTAGGTTATAAATTCCTAATATATTTATTAATTATCGAATCACTAGAGCCTCATAGAGTTCTGCATTTTAAAAATAAAGTGTCGAGATTTCAAATATTTCGGATACAAATATTTCCTTCGCCCCTCTTCGTTCTACTCAAAGAACCCTAAGAAAATTGTATTATATAAATTGTTCTTCAACTTTTGTCATTCGTATATAGTATCAATAAATGAGAAATGTCTTTAAGCATTGTGAAGTGTCATTAACATAATTACATAATTACAAACAATACAAACTTAACAAATTCCATGCTCCTTAGGATAATATGGTTCGCTTTTTGTTATATTAAATAGTTACAAACATCGATTATGATGACGTTTGTCATGTCGTATGCTGCTCTTATTAGATGAATTTCTGGCGAACTACATGGAATGAAGCAACTGTGTAATAATTAATTATATTAAATGTTAAATGCATAAACACACCAGTACAATCCTAATGGTAAGCGCTTATTTTTGCGGGGCTATGAGTCCTTTGAGAATATCGAAACTATTCCCATCCGGATGCACAGCAAATATGTTTCCATCTTTACCTTCAACCTGGAGAAAGCCATAATCATCAATACCCAGGACTTTCACCTCCTGGGATGATCCTTGTGGTGAGATTACAGTAACCTCAGCATCTCTACAAAAAAATGTCCATTGTAAAAAACATTTACGCTATTGTTATTCAATGGGATATTAATATATGAAATACTGACGTATGCATCCAATATTCGTAATACACTTCGTATAAATGATCCAAGTTGTCAGCCTGAACGACATTTACCAGTCTCTCGATTTCACTGAAGACAAGAGCTAAAAATCTTTCGTACGACAGCTTCTGCAATTTTGTAGCGTTTTGTTTATTGTACCAACCGATTACGTCATTTATACAACAGGTCGGCACGCTGTTTGATAAGTTTGCACCCACCCCTACGAATTAAGATACCTTCATGTAAAACTGAACGTTAGAAAAAACAAAATAGTGAATGATTCTCTAGCACTTTTAGTAAAACGTGTAAAAACCTATGTCAGCAATTAAGTACCTATGTTACAAATAGCGTTTAGTCCCTCCATTACTGTATTCACTATTAAACCACCAATTTTTGCTGTACTGCCCGCATAAATGTCGTTAGGCCACTTGAGCCTGAGATCAAGTTCCTGCAATTCCATAATAGTAACTAATTCAATATTAAAAAAGATGCTTTCAATAGCAAAATTTTTACCTTATAGCCTGGGATAGATTTTATAGCAGAAACTATAGATACAGCAACCAAATGTTGAAGAATCGGTAAATGTCTTCCTAAAGGTGAATTCAATGGTATGTGAAGCTGAAGAGTAAACATAGCACAACCCTCAGGGCTAAGCCAAATATTTTTCTTTCGACCTAAAATAATATTATTTCACATTAATATTTTAATTGTTGTTAGACGGTAACACAATGTCAATAATTATAAATACCTTGACCCTTGGTCTGTCGCCGTGGTATCACCACTAAACCATGATGTAAAGTAGTGCCAGCTACTACATCCATAGAGGATGACATAATGTCAGCATATATTACCAGACGACCCAAATGTTCTGAAGTAAGATTCTAAAAAACAAAATAATACAAGGATAATAAACAATGTACTCCATTTATTCCAATAATTATAAATTATTTTATAAAGTTTTATAAATTGTAACAAAATACCTCAAAATATTCAACAGTAGAAAACTTATCAGGACATTGATGTACCATCACTGGTAACAAAAACTCCGATGCTGGTGCCGCCTTGGTTGTGCGATCACAAAACTGAATTTCTAATTTGGACATTCTTAGTAGGTCGTTCGGTTGCATTTTGGCTTTCAATCGGTCCAGCATTTCTAATTTTAACTGTATAACGGATAATGAAGATTACACTGATTAGAAGTGACGACCTTGGAACAGGATGCATGGTTTTTGTTTCTCTGACATGTGTTTTATCTACATTGGGACATACTTGTGCTTCATTTTTGATCAATTTTTTAAGACAGGGAAGGGGGACAATTTACAGTTGTGTGCCTTTAAGTGCACTGTGCGATATCAATCTCCCAGTGGTTTATCTGCCGACAAATTCAACGCTCTACACTGTTATTCGCTTGCTAAACAAATTAATTTGTTCTATAAGGACATGCAAGATGAATGATTACCGCAGAGTATATGAACCAATTTAAGAAGACAAAGAATGCACAAAACGATAAAAACCATAGCAGCTTTGCTACATAACGTGTATTGCTTGTTTTTTTTAGTTCATTATAGTGCGACAGCAAGCTGGAGACACTGGAGATTTCATCGAGTGATTAAAAAATAGTGTGGTGATAAAACTTAATATTTATATATTGTGTACCTCATGTCTTCCCAGAAAAAATGCTGAACCGTAGATTGGTTCTGTTCGTGGCTCAGAACTGACATCCATACCCAATTGGGTACCCAACAGATCACTAAAGATCTCCAATCGAGCGGTATTGCTTTGCTTCAGTGCATTGAATTTACTTTCCTCGAATTCATATTGGGATGGATCAGCTTCTAGGTGGATCTGTGAGAAGACAGCCTTTCCACCGCTAGTTGGAAGATTCGCCAAGAGAATGCTTGGTGTGTGCCAGATTTCCTCTGTCCCAAGTACACGTACATGAAACGTATGAGATTTGCCAGCTTTATCTCTAACATTAGCTGAAGCTGGAGTCTGAGGTGCAGCTACCCTGAATAAGATTATTACTTAATATTCAAATCGATGTGAAGAATAAAAATATTTGCATCGTTGGAGGAAACTAACTTCACATCCTCGTGATCCTGGGAGAATTTAGTCTTGGCTGGAGATGCCTGATAGCAAAAGATATGATGCATCATTCGTACGTGTTTCCATTTTCCATAAGAAAATCGCACTAATTCGTGTTCCCGAACTTCAGCTGTTTTGAATGATGGAAGTAGGGTATGCAATGTGTTTGAACATAGAGCTAACAGTTTTCCACCTTGAACCATGTATTCTACTAATTGAGATGCTATGTCTACTCCTACATTTCCACAAACCACTACGAGTGTTGCCTGATCCATCCAAACTTCATTTTGAGCCTCCTCCAGGGACAAAGTGTATATTGTATATCTGAATAATTTCTTTGTTTAAATATAAAGTTCATACTTTATTCAAAATACAATGGCTTACTTGTCCTTATTTAATGTGGCGTCCAAAACGTTCTTCACATTTTCTATAGCTATGGTACTGTCAGCATATATTAACACATTTGGAGGCTTTGAATAATTTCCAGAACCAGTAACAAGTTTTTTGGAAGGCGAATAGCTGAAAAATAAATATATTCAAATTTATTAATTGTAAAGTAGTGTCACTTAAGATTCTAATTATAATTACTTTGCAGTGCTAGTTGACGGTAACTTCTTTGGCGATAGTGTTCTTCCTTCACCCTCATCAGTTACATGTGAGGATTTAAAGGAACTTGATCCTAGAAGATTTACAGAAGATGCTACTTCAATGTTGATAACATCCTTCAAATGGAGATTCTGAGATTCGGAACGATTTGGAGTATCAGAGAGGATTGCTGAACTGTCTAAATATGGGGTTGGACTAAGATCAACTGAGTTGGTCAAAGCTTGGGATAGTCTGGATGCCGTTCCGTTTATAATGGCAGTAGCAGACGCTGGGGTCGGAGGTGGCGTTGATGGAACAGGAGAGTTGGATGATTCTTCCTTCATATCTATTAAATAAACGTAAATTCCAGTGCCATTATTAATTCATATGAAGTTGAATCCGAAAAATAAAAAGTTACCTGATAAGTCACCAGGTATTGTAATTTCAAGTATCGTAGGCATTTGCAGTGTTAGTGACTCACTTCCTGGTGATATAAATATTCCAGGTGGATCCTCTACTTCTATGGTCATTCTTTGTTGCGATACTAATCTTGCGGTGCTACTGAATATTTGCAATCTCTTCATATGTGCCTCGCACTGTGCTTTCCCTATTAATTCTGTATGACGATATAATGACTACGTTTCCATCGTGCAATATTTAAGTAGGATCAACCAATAATGTGCAATATTTGAAAAGAATACACGAACATGATTCTTTAAGGCTATTTAAATCTGGCACAATCGAAACGTAGTCAGTAACTTAAATTAGTAATATTATTTGTACTAAATTTTTAAAAATTATTTTGAATTACTCACTTTTATTGTGAATATGATTCAACTGATCGCTGTTATATGCACAGGGCTTCCCTGATACTAAAACGGCTATACAATATAGTATACATGAATTTTTAACCTTCCCAATTCTTGTATTATGTATTGATTGTTATTATCAATGAGGTCATTAATGTTTACAGTGAACTTACATTGGATTCGGGTCAGTGAAAAACCGTTGTTAATAAAGCACTGGTCGTTCATTAGGGCAATTGAGAATTTTGTTATATGATCTAGATCCGTTTCTAATATTAGTCCTAAACTTCGGTCTGTTGTCCAAGCGACTATTAAACCATAGTCTTCAAGCTAGGTGATAGCAGAAGAAAGATATTCTTTCTCAGATTCCTATTTTAAGTGCTATAAATTTACATATATAAAAAAATATTCTTCGTAATGTACCTTAGTAGTCTTGTTTGTGACCACCGGGTTATAACTTTTCAAGTCCGCTTCAATGAGCACATGCATCTTACAATCCTGATGGAGTCCAACTTGAGTACAATTGTATGTACAAAGGGGAAACAAAGTTTTGCCATATGGATATTGAAGCCAATCGGTTACATCCACTTTTTGCTATAAAGAGAAAATTAGTACAAAATTCTATATATAATTTTTGTTGTATCTCTTTAGTAATTATAACCTGTCTACCTGAGGATAAATTGTACAGAGGCACTTATCACCTTGGAACCAGAGAAGGTCGCTAAGCTTGGCAACATTATGATTCCCGCAAAAATAAGAACTAAGTAAATCCTCAGTCCCGCCATTTCCAATTCCAGCAATGCTTTTGTCTCCACAAGTTTCTTTGCGTATGGGAAAAACATATTAAGGATATGCCCAATAACCAAAAAAAGTGATGAGAAATATTGTCAGTCAGATAACATTTCAAGTTTCTGATTACCTTCTTTTGTGCATACTGGTGATCTGGTGTGGAATGTTATTGAAGGACGAGAAGTCTCTGGTCCCTGAAAAGCAATATTAAGTCTTGCTCTCAAAGAGGAGAGCCTCCATGCTTGTATCCAGGTTGCAATCATGTAGAAAAATGTCAGGAGCATCTTGCAAATAGATGCTGTAATATGTCAGATCAGCAAGATATTATATACTTTTAATTATTTTGGTAAATGTTTGTATGCTGCAATAAATTATTTTAAAAGATAGAAATTTAAGCTTTCAATTACTCTGACATCTAATCATATAAAATCTATAAAACTAGCAAAAGTAATGTATAATGTACAAATTATTATTGCTAAATATAGATTAATTTTAATAATATTGTTTTATGTAATATACACTACAACTGATATTATACAGAAGAGGACGTAAAATAAATGATAATGCATGGTCAAAATAAAGAGACTACAATCAGTGAAATAAAGGTGAAAATATAATTTTATTTTTTTTTAACGCAGATGTGAACAAATACAGTACACGGATGATATACAAATTAAAGTTACGATTGTTCACAAAAGATTATATATTATTTTTAATTCATTTGGAGTCCAAATTCTTTTTGGAAGTCACATCTAACCAGTCGGCAAATTTAAACGAAAATTGTTGAGAACAGCAATATTTCAATTGCGGAAAACACAGAAGCCTATCAAAGTAGGATTATAGGAATTCGGAAGAGGATGTCAAGTTATAGTAGTCTTAAAAAAAAAAAAAAGATTCTATAGATCCTTGAACAAACCCTCTCATCGCGTACCTTCCTTACAGCTGATCAAACACTAAATCCGCCAAGAATTATTTTGATATTCCTCAACGTCTTGTTAGCTTACATTCTATATTTTATGCAAACAAATTCATACAATCTCATCTTTGGAATTATGTCCTATAGGCGTCTAATTATCGATGAGATTCAAATTCCCTAGTATTTCTGTTATTATGTCGCGGCCTAGTGATAAATAATCTCACTAGAATTGAGCGGCGAATTCAAATGAGGGATTACAATGGAATCCCGATTTCTGTCTCCAAATCAGAATTCAATACTTTCAAATACTCAGTCTGCCATTAACGCATAAATAAGGTATATTCTAAACAATTCGGAGAAAGTTTTCTAGCCGCTACACGTGCATAAACATATGGGCTACAAAGAATGTAGGCAGAGGCCATTTGTTTATTGCTATTCTAACGAGTGAGTTTTTCAGGAACTCTCACTCCTGGCAATAAATCGAGTCACTTGAGAGGATCGACGGATAGCAGAATGTTCGGTTAACAGATTACGCTGTCTATGTGCTTCCCCAAATAAACTAAGGATAGGGTGTGCATGAGCTCTTTGTGCGTAAGACAAGGCCCTCGATCTTGGACCCGGACACCAAGGCGCCACACGCTGGCCCTCCACAAAGGGTAGTACATATGAATGTGTATGAGTACGGATGCATGCATGAGAAGTATGAAGAACTGTATCCCTTGGGATCCAGAAAACCAGTTCGATTTCTGGTCTTGAAGGGTGTACTTCGAGTCTATATCGTAGAGTCAATTAGCTAGATTCAGTTAAGATAGATTGATTTAGACTAAATCACATTATAATTAAAGTAAATAAAGTTAGTTATAGTGCTTTCCAATCGCACCTGCATTTTTATTTCTAAAGCCTTTATTCAGTTGAAAACCCATAACATCATCGTACCAGAAATCAATGTATATACAGAGGATTGAACATCGTTGGAGTGCTCATCAGAGCTTTGGTGGCTAACGAACCCACCTCGTCAGATTCACGCAGTCGAATCTGCCGCGAAAACGATAGTGGCGACGATCTGGACGTCACATAATAAAAATTTTGGTGACAGTGGTGAAATAGCTGCATCCTTCGAGGTTCAATTATCCACGAGAGATTCATATCTACAAGGACATCCAGGACTTTCTCAGAAGGACCCAGGACCAATCCACACGTCACGGGAAGCATCCAAGTCTGTTAGTGGAGTGATAAAAGAACAATCTGTGAAATAAGTGAAGTTATAGTGTGCATGTAATTAAACTAGGTATATACTGGTATTGCAAGGACAGAATCATTGTAAATCTTAAATATAATACCTCGAATAAGTGGAGTGGATATCGAGATACTATCCAGGTTTTCTGCGGTTTCCCTGAATCGCGCAGTAAATGCTGGTATCCTACAGAGAAGGCTGCAGCCGTAAAATCAAAAAGGTGTCCATCCGTTCGGAGTGTATCTAGGAATTAAAATAGAAATTTATTAATTAAAAGCAACAATGTCGAGTTCGACAACAGAATGGGAAATCGTTCCTAGAGAGAGAAGCGTGGGTATAGACGAAAGTTCTTCTACTGCCACAGAGTACGATTCCTTACATTCTTCTATATCGGCAAATAAGGATTCAAATAACATAGAAGAAACACGTTATGCTGAATACATAGGAGCTAGAGAAGCTACAGGCTTAATACCGATTTATAATGGAGAAAATATGGCTGCAAATAGCTTCGTAGGACTTTGTAAGTAAACGGCTCTCTTGATTGATCCTTCGAAGAAATTATACTTGACCCAATTCATTAAGTCACGTATCTAAGGACAATACCGAATATTATGGACAATACCGAATCAACAAGGAGTTGCTTGTCGAAAAAATTATAGAGCCTTCCAATAGCTTACGCTTCAAAGTTGTTAAAGGAAGCGGAAATCATTTATTCCGTGATAGAGAAAGAATTATATGCAATAGTTTTCGGTGTTAAACACTTTAGGACTTACTAGTACGGTAACAAGTTTCAGCTGACTAACTAATCATAGAGCTTGCCCTTAGTCTGGGCACACGGAATTAAAGACCCCACGTCGCGACTTCTACGCTGGTTACTAAAATTGAAAAAGTATAATTATGAAGTTCTTTATAAAGCGGGACGGTTGAACGCCAACGCTGATGCTCTCTCGCGAAATCCAATTGATATGGAGATTGCGGATATCAGATTTACGAGTCATTGGCATAATGAAGGAGATAAAGCACTTCTCAAGGATGCACTCAATAGGTACAATACCGAGAAATTGACAGACAGAGAAATAGGGAGAACTCCTCTGACATCAAACGGTTCTGGGAACCACAAAAGTAAAGGGATAGACTTGATTCCAATTGGTCAACAAATTGTATCGAGGCCAGCCTCGGTGCAAGATGATGACACAATGGTAGAGCCTATTACCGCTCGGAGCGTCACAGAGTGCCGCCCGGTATCTGGAAAGAAGATTTGTTGTCTGGCAACTAGATGACCCGATGAGGAGTGAAAAAAGGTGACCTGAAAGGATACAATACTTCCCACCCGGGAAATCGTGTTGTCGAATGAAGAATAGGCAATCTCCTGTAGAGAGAAATAGCAAAAGCTATCCTTTGAGTTACGACAACGAGAGTTGTCTAGTTAGTGATAATGAAAAGTATCGAGTTAATGTTAACCCGGGCCTGGGTATAGCGTGGGCACTAGATGTTTAACGCAGGATGTCAGAAGAGGGGACGTCCATTGATCCCTTAGAGCTACAACAGATAGTAGAAAAGCATGCTCAAACACTAACATACGAAGCATCCAAGAGAAGTGAAAATAGTAAAGATATCAAGAATTCAGAGTCTGGTACCAGCGATAGTCGTGATTGTGAGATAACTGAAAATGACTGTGTTCATCCAGAAAGAAATCTTCTCTCCATCGATTCTCTTGAAGAAGAATCATTTCCTGAATCCATTTCGGATGACGATGACTTCTCTGACAGTGATTTGAAAGAGAATTCCCAAACGAATATACCTGTTCCAACAAAGAGAATGAAAAGGTCAATATTGGCTAATTTATTCTCAGAAACCAGGCATGGAATATTAATAAAAAGGTACCACATAACCCATTTTGTTTCAGCAGATTTTAAGACAAGAACTCAAGTAACGAGGAAACTTTTAAAAAAACAATACATTAGTGAACAGGGATTCGCGACATCCAAACAGGAAATTGGAGATGTGATCATTTTCAAACATGGACCATGCACGTATTTAGCATAATTGTGAAGGAAAAATCAGAGGATAAAATCCAATTATTTAACGTAATAACAGGAATTACGAAATTAAAGAAAGCTGTGGATTATTTCGGCGTAAAAACCGTTAGACTGGCAACATCTGGAGAAAGACTAAATGAACTGCCATGGGGTAATATCAAATTGCATTTAGGTGAGACCTTCCCAGACTGATATCATATTACCCTATGTTTAGGTCAAACTCAAACTCCTGAGGTCGAACAACGAAAGAAAATTATGCAGGAAATGCATGAATCTGTAGTTGGAGGATACAAAAGTGTGAGGAAAACATATGAAAGAATAAGAAAGCAGTACTTTTGGAAAAATATGAAATCAGAGATTCAGACTTTCGTTAAACATTGCCTTACTTGTCAGAAGAATAAGCTTATGTGGATTAAAATCAGGCAGCTAATGATAGTTACTGACACTCCTCAAGAGGCTTTTGAGAAAATAGCTCTCGATATAATAGGACCCTTACCCATCACAAGTTCAAGTAGTAGATACGTCCTCACGACCGAAGATAGTCTAACCAAATATTCTGTAGCTATAGGTCTTCCTGAATCTAAAACTGAAACCATTGCTAAAGCCTTTGCTGAAAATTTCATATGCTGTTTTGGATGTCCTGAGTCCATTCTGACTGAACAAGGTAAAAACTTTACAGGTGAAGTGATGAAACATCTAGCCAAACTATTTAAAATCAAACAACCAAAAATCACTGCCTTCCACCCACAATCCAATAGATCTTTAGAGAGAAGTCACTTGGTTCTAGTTGAGTACTTAAAACATTACATTAATTTAGACAGAAACTGGGACACATGGCTAAAATATTCCATGTTTTTCTATAATACATCAGTTCATGAATCTACTGGATTTAGTCCTCATGAGTTGATTTTTGGCAAAACAGCAAGGATTCCCTCAAACTTCATTAGAGAAAGTTCTGAACGAACCTTTGTAGATTACTTAAGGGATCTCGTAGTGAAACTTAGAGACACAGTTAATTGCTGTGGAAAGATTAGACAAATCTAAATTCAAATCTAAGGAATATTACAATAGGAGTGTAAATATACAAGACTTTGCAGAAGGGAACTGGGTATTTCTATTGAATGACACTAAAGCAAACAAACTTGATCCGAATTATTTGGGGCCATTCCAAATTGACAAGATTCCGGGACACGAAAATGCAAGGATCAAACTTTCTGTGGACTGTACAAAGGTGATACATAAAAATCGACTGAAACCAGCTTATTTGTAAGGTTAGGAAATAGGCACCTGAGTAGAGTAAACAAGACATTGGAAGTAATAATACAGTTAGCACTTAGAAAATTTAAGATATAGAAATGTTTTGGAATACCTATTGTTTGATGACATACCGGCTTAGTTTCCACAGACACAGAGTCGAGCTCAAATAGAGCTGAAATAGATGCCAGTTTTTCTACCTTCAACCGTTTCTACCGCACTCCCACTAGGCAGAGTTCAAGTAGAGTTGTTGGGAGTTGAGTTGAAATATCAGCTATACCAACAACACATTGTTTCATGCACTTTCCAAATGTTTCTCTTCTTTCGTTGAACATATTTATTTGTATCTTCTTCATTCATCTTTTCCACTAACGTTATAAATCCACAAGATCCGCATGTAGGTGTGACGTCCTGATCGTCGCCACTGTCGTTTTCGCGGCAGAATCGACTGCGTGAATCTGGCGAGGTGGGTTCGTTAGCCACCAAAGCTCTGATGAGCACTCCAACGGTGTTCAATCCTCTTTATATATGTTGATTTCTGGTACGGTAAGATTATGGGTTTTCAAATGAATAAAGGCTTTAGAAATAAAAATGCAGGTGCTATTGGAAAGCACTATAACTAACTTTATTTACTTTAATTACAATGTGATTTAGTCTAAATCAATCTATCTTAACTGAATCTAGCTAATTGACTCTACGATATGGACTCGAAGTACACCCTTCAAGACCAGAAATCGAACTGCCTTTCTGGATTCCAAGGGATACAGTCCTTCATACTTCTCATGCATGCATCCGTACTCGTACACATTCATGTGTATGTACAGCCTTTGTGGAGGCCCAGCGTGTGGCGCCTTGCTGTCCGGGCCCAAGATCAAGGGCCTTGTC